GGTGGCCCACTAAACATTCAACCAGTATATAAAAGAATTAAAAAAAATATCTGAAGTTATTCATCCAACCCTTAAACAAGATAACTAAACATTTAGAACAAAGGTAGTGTAGTAAATACGAGACAATTTCTTCACAGATATATAGAAGACTTGAGGCGACAGATGATGCGACACTACAGAAGGATACTGAGAACAACATAAACGGATCGTGTAAGAAACGAGGAGCTTTTAAGGAAAATGGAAGCAAAATGGTCGATTATACATTGAATCAGAAAGACAGTTGGAATTTCTGAGACTCATAATGAGGAAAGACAGCTTGGAGAATTTGACACTCACAGAGCATACCAAAGACAGGAGGAAACAATGAGTAATCTACATAACTGGGAAGAGTGGTATAAAGGCAAACATTAAGTGCTACAAAAGATAAGAGGTTATGGAGAACCATGATTACCTACGTTTGAAAATGGGAGGAAACAGTGAGTAATCAACATAATAAGCTTGTGTAAATAGATGGCAGAAAATGGACTGGGAAAGTCAAACATTGCTAAGCGCTACAAAGGATTGGAAGTTGTGGAGAGCCGTAAGAACCTACCTCCTGAAAGAACACGGTACAAAGAAGAAAGGAAGAACAATTTATTTGAACGCTGCAATTAATTTACAGTGGAACCTCGGTTCACGAATTTAATTCGTTCCTGAAGGCCGTTCGTAACCCGAAATGTTCGTAAACCGAAATGTTCGTAATCCGAAAACCGAAACTATTTTTCCAGTAAGAATCAATGTAGAGAAAAAAAAGTCACAGTACAATAAAATTGGGAAAGAAAAGCACGGCACTATAGGTTGCTCTATACTTCATTTTCACAGGAGTCAAATGATTTTCGTGGAAAGGTTTCAAGCCACCACTTCACAGGCCCTCTCGATGACGGGTCTGGTATTCTAGAGTTGAGGTGATTTATTTATTTGTAATTGCCAAGATTTTCACATAAAATAATACCGTACTCTAACTGCAAAAATAGTCTTCACTTTTAATTTGGGCTTTCTTTGCTTGGTGAATAAACTCGGATATGACTTTTTCGTTGTCTTAAAGACAGCGAAGAAGATGGCATTTAAAATCTATGCTGTTCATATTAATAGTATTTTTCGTCGCTATATTGCAGTATTTTTCTTTTTATAAAAAAGAGTTTTTTTTTTTTTTTTTTTTTTTTTAAGCATTTCAACCCAGGCAAGGCGGGAGTGCCACTAGCATGAAAGGGATTACATAGAGTGGCAGTAAGAGTAGAGGCATGATAGAGGAAAGGATGAAGAGAAGGACGGGGAATAGATCAAGCCATCTGGAGATGTCGATTGACATTGCATTTGAACAATTGGCGATTATAGCTATCAGGGAAGCAAGTAAAATAAAGAGAGTTCCACAGACGGTAAGTGCGTGACATGAAGCTATTGGAGTACAAGTTCCTGTAAAATTCCAGACATGTAGGTTGTATAATTAATTTGCGATATTTATTAAAGATAAAAAACAAACTTTTTCCATTTTGCTAAATTAAAAGTTGCACCAAATGATGTGTTTACTACTAGGTCCGCGCAACGTGGACTTGAACAATCTGTGATTGAATCAGCCGATTTATCTACTCCGATTCGTCACTGAAATGAGTGAACTTCGGAGACATTCTTCCGAGAAGCCACTTTCTTTTATGATAGAAGACTACATTTAAAGACTTTTTTTTATTATTATTCATTTTAAGCTACGCATGTTATTAGCAAATTGAATCTATCTAGCGTAACAAAACTTTAGTTTTCTTGACTCAGTTATAATTTATGCTCAAGTCAAAGGGTGAAAATTCAGTCACGTAACAGTTCCACGAGCAGAACGAAATGTATGTCGTCACACCAGTTGGTGCCAACTCCTCAAAACAACATAACGTCTATTCCAGACCTCCGTTTCTCTATCGTCATTTATGGCCAAAGCCACATCACTGACGCGATGTACGACCACATCAACTTACCAGTAAGACCTAAGTTCACTTTTCTTTTCTACATCTAGTATATATTCGGCGGTTGGCTGTACAAACAATTATGTGATTCTACTTTATGTAAATGTGTTCTTTTCTCAGTTGTTATATACATGTCTTTGTTTTTATTTAGCTATGTATATAAGTGTTGCTAAACAGCGTTTATAGCAATGATATATTAGATGGGAAGGTACATTTGTCCCCACCAGCCATTCCAGTGTAACAAAGAACTCAACATTTCAAAACAAGTCATATGCATTGTTTATAACAACTTTGAATGTTGTCATATTTTGATTGTACGACGAATAACGCTAGTATTTTCTTACTGTCAAAGAAATTTACTCAAATGTATTTTGATATTTGCATTTAAATGTCATCTTCAGATTGCTTCCAAATAAAATTTTGCTAAATGCTTGATTTGCATTTTTATATATTTTCTCTTGTGTAAACATTTTAAGCATGGCTTGTATTAGAAAGTGATGCATATATTTAACTAATAAATGTCATTTGATTATTTTCTTTTTATTTTATATATATATATATATATATATATATATATATATATATATATATATATATATATATAGATAGATAGATAGTACAGGTAATAGATCCATTGGTATATAATCCAAGTGGATCCTAGTAATATCAAATGTTAAAACTGATCCACAGAGAGCTCAATGTATTTATTATAACAGAGCATATATATTATACAGCAAAAATCCAATTTACCTCAGACTATACCAACATGAGGTAATTTTTTTTTATTTTTGCTGTATTATATATATATATATATATATATATATATATATATATATTTCAAAGATTAGAGAAAAACCTTTTATACCATCGTCTTTCGTTTCTTGATAAACTTCATTAATGTAAGTGTGGATATTTTATTTAGTAACCTGCATTTATAGCCAATCGTATTTCTCCCGGTCTTTTCAACAGGATTAGAGGCTCATCTTGTTTCCTGTTTAGGTTTCCGGTTCCTTCTAAAGTCTGCTTTAACTCTATACCCCTAACGTCTGCGCCTGAACTCTGACATTTTATTCGCTAATTAAATCTTGACCTCTTCAAGTCTAGAATTAGCAATCTTTCGTGTTTTACGCTAATACAACTCCACACTGTAACTCTCTACCTTGAGTAGCCCTTGGGCCTTGAATTGGGCGAACATTAGGAAAAAAATCTAACGTGGAGAAAAATCAAATAACGTTGAGCCTTCTCGGGTTAATGTTTTCCACTGAGATGAAATGGAACGATTATATTGAATCAAATGCTACACCTGCTGCCAGACAATTTTTCTCACCAGAATCTATCTTACACATTTATAAGTTTACTACTTGGCCTTGTGCCACATCTTGCTACGTGGAGCAACGGGTAAATAATATTTATAAGTCTACTATTCGTCCATGATTTGAATATTGCTGTCACATCTGGTTTGATGTTCCTGCTATAAATTTAAAAAAAAATCTTGATAAAATCCAAAGAAGAATCTGTAATGTCATCAGTCCTGACCTAGCATTTCGGCTTCATTCATTTTCCTATCATTTTAACGTAGCTTCCCTGTGCCATTCTATAAGTATTTTCATGGTGATTATTCTAATAAGATTTTCTCTCTGGTACGTCAACTTTACAAATTTAAACGCTGTACTAGATTGTGGGACTCATTTCAAGCCTTTTGCTTTCCAGTCAAGTTTGATCTTCAAACATTTTAATTTCAATGTCAATCTTTATCTTCTGTCTTTCGTAATTCCTGTCAATTCATTGTTCTATCTTCTTAATAATGTTTTTTTTTTTATATATTTTTTCTCGTATTCTTTAACACTCAATAAACCCCTTGCCTCTTTGTGGATTTATTGCCTTGCTTCAAACCCTGATATTGCTCCTACCCAACTTTCAATCTGTAATAAGTTGGAAACTGAATAGAGAAAGCGTCTAAAAAGATCAACGCTTGTGAAAGTTGAAGACGTGATTCCTGAAGTGTTATCAGGTGAAGGTCGCCGAAAGGGATTTGAAGGCATGATTCCTGAAGTGTTATCAGGTGAAAGTCGCCGAAAGGGATTTGAAGGCATGATTCCTGAAGTGTTGTCAGGTGAAGGTCGCCGAAAGGATTTGAAGACGTGATTCCTGAAGTGTTATCAGGTGAAGGTCGCCGAAAGGGATTTGAAGGCATGATTCCTGAAGTGTTATCAGGTGAAGGTCGCCGAAAGGGATTTGAAGGCATGATTCCTGAAGTGTTGTCAGGTGAAGGTCGCCGAAAGGGATTTGAAGACGTGATTCCTGAAGTGTTATCAGGTGAAGGTCGCCGAAAGGGATTTGAAGGCATGATTCCTGAAGTGTTATCAGGTGAAGGTCGCCGAAAGGGATTTGAAGGCGTGATTCCTGAAGTGTTGTCAGGTGAAGGTCACCGAAAGGGATTTGAAGGCGTGATTCCTGAAGTATTATCAGGTGAAGATCGCCGAAAGGGATTTGAAGGCGTGATTCCTGAAGTGTCGTCAGGTGAAGGTCACCGAAAGAGATTTGAAGGCGTGATTCCTGAAGAGTTATCAGGTGAAGATCGCCAAAAGGGATTTAAAGGCGTGATTACTGAAGTGTTATCAGGTGAAGGTCACCGAAAGGGATTTGAAGGCGTGATTCCTGAAGTGTTATCAGGTGAAGATCGCTGAAAAGGGTTTGAAGGCGTGATTCCTGAAGTGTTGTCAGGTGAAGGTCACCGAAAGGGATTTGAAGGCGTGATTCCTGAAGTATTATCAGGTGAAGATCGCCGAAAGGGATTTGAAGGCGTGATTCCTGAAGTGTCGTCAGGTGAAGGTCACCGAAAGAGATTTGAAGGCGTGATTCCTGAAGAGTTATCAGGTGAAGATCGCCAAAAGGGATTTGAAGGCGTGATTACTGAAGTGTTATCAGGTGAAGGTCACCGAAAGGGATTTGAAGGCGTGATTACTGAAGTGTTATCAGGTGAAGATCGCCGAAAGGGATTTGAAGACGTGATTACTGAAGTGTTATCAGGTGAAGGTCGCCGAAAGGGATTTGAAGGCGTGATTCCTGGAGTGTTGTCAGGTGAAGGTCGCCGAAAGGGATTTGAAGGCGTGATTCCTGAAGTGTTATCAGGTGAAGATCGCCAAAAGGGATTTGAAGGCGTGATTCCTGAAGTGTTGTCAGGTGAAGGTCACCGAAAGGGATTTGAAGGCGTGATTCCTGAAGTGTTGTCAGTTGAAGATCGCCAAAAGGGATTTGAAGGCGTGATTCCTGAAGTGTTGTCAGGTGAAGGTCACCGAAATGGATTTGAAGGCATGATTCCTGAAGTGTTATCAGGTGAAGATCGCCGAAAAGGATTTGAAGACGCGATTCCTGAAGTGTTATCCGGTGAAGGTCGCCGAAAGGGTTTTGAAGGCGTGATTCCTGAAGTGTTATCAGGTGAAGGTCGCCGAAAGGGATTTGAAGGCATGATTCCTGAAGTGTTGTCAGGTGAAGATCGCCGAAAGGGATTTGAAGGCGTGATTCCTGAAGTGTTGTCAGGTGAAGGTCGCCGAAAGGGATTTGAAGGCATGATTCCTGAAGAGTTATCAGGTGAAGGTCGCCGAAAGGGATTTGAAGGCATGATTCCTGAAGTGTTATCAGGTGAAGGTCGCCGAAAGGGATTTGAAGGCGTGATTCCTGAAGTGTTGTCAGGTGGAGGTCACCGAAAGGGATTTGAAGGCGTGATTCCTGAAGTATTATCAGGTGAAGATCGCCGAAAGGGATTTGAAGGCGTGATTCCTGAAGTGTTGTCAGGTGAAGGTCACCGAAATGGATTTGAAGGCATGATTCCTGAAGTGTTATCAGGTGAAGATCGCCGAAAAGGATTTGAAGACGCGATTCCTGAAGTGTTATCAGGTGAAGGTCGCCGAAAGTGTTTTGAAGGCGTGATTCCTGAAGTGTTATCAGGTGAAGGTCGCCGAAAGGGATTTGAAGGCATGATTCCTGAAGTGTTGTCAGGTGAATGTCGCCGAAAGGGATTTGAAGACGTGATTCCAGAAGTGTTATCAGGTGAAGGTCGCCGAAAGGGATTTGAAGGCGTGATTCCTGAAGTGTTATCAGGTGAAGATCGCCGAAAGGGATTTGAAGGCGTGATTACTGAAGTATTATCAGGTGAAGGTCGCCGAAAGGGACTTTAAGGCGTGATTCCTGAAATGTTGTCAGGTGAAGGTCGCCGTAAGGGATTTGAAGGCGTGATTCCTGAATTGTTATCAGGTGAAGATCGCCAAAAGGGATTTGAAGGCGTGATTCCTGAAGTGTTATCAGGTGAAGATCGCCGAAAGGGATTTGAAGGCGGGATTCCTGAAGTGTTATCAGGTGAAGGTCACCGAAAGGGATTTGGAGGCGGGATTCCTGAAGTATTATCAGGTGAAGATCGACGAAAGGGATTTGAAGGCGTGATTCCTGAAGCATTATCAGGTGAAGATCGCCGAAAGGGATTTGAAGGCGTGATTCCTGAAGTGTTATCAGGTGAAGATCGCTGAAAGGGATTTGAAGGCGTGATTACTGAAGTGTTATCAGGTGAAGATCGCCGAAAGGGATTTGAAGCCGTGATTACTGAAGTGTTATCAGGTGAAGGTCGCCGAAAGGGATTTGAAGGCGTGATTCCTGAAGTGTTGTCAGGTGAAGGTCGCCGAAAGGTATTTGAAGGCGTGATTACTGAAGTGTTGTCAGGTGAAGGTCACCGAAAGGGATTTGAAGGCGTGATTCCTGAAGTGTTGTCAGGTGAAGATCGCCAAAAGGGATTTGAAGGCGTGATTCCTGAAGTGTTGTCAGGTGAAGGTCACCGAAAGGGATTTGAAGGCGTGATTCCTGAAGTGTTATCAGGTGAAGATCGCAAAAAGGGATTTGAAGGCGTGATTCCTGAAGTGTTGTCAGGTGAAGATCGCCGAAAGGGATTTGAAGGCGTGATTCCTGAAGTGTTGTCAGGTGAAGATCGCCGATAGGGATTTGAAGGCGTGATTCCTGAAGTGTTATCAGGTGAAGATCGCAAAAAGGGATTTGAAGGCGTGATTCCTGAAGTGTTGTCAGGGGAAGATCGCCAAAAGTGATTTAAAGGCGTGATTCCTGAAGTGTTGTCAGGTGAAGGTCACCGAAAGGGATTTGAAGGCATGATTCCTGAAGTGTTATCAGGTGAAGATCGCCGAAAAGGGTTTGAAGGAGTCATTACTGAAGTGTTATCAGGTGAAGATCGCCGAAAGGGATTTGTAGGCGTGATTCCTGAAGTGTTATCAGGTGAAGGTCACCGAAAGGGATTTGAAGGCATGATTCCTGAAGTGTTATCAGGTGAAGATCGCCGAAAAGGGTTTGAAGGCGTGATTACTGAAGTGTTATCAGGTGAAGATCGCCGAAAAGGATTTGAAGGCGTGATTCCTGAAGTATTATCAGGTGAAGATCAGCGAAAGGGATTTGAAGGCGTGATTCCTGAAGTATTATCAGGTGAAGATCGCCGAAACGGATTTGAAGGCGGGATTCCTGAAGTGTTATCAGGTGAAGATCGCAAAAAGTGATTTGAAGGCGTGATTCCTGAAGTGTTGTCAGGTGAAGGTCACCGAAAGGGATTTGAAGGCGTGATTCCTGAAGTGTTGTCAGGTGAAGATCGCCAAAAGGGATTTAAAGGCGTGATTCCTGAAGTGTTGTCAGGTGAAGGTCACCGAAAGGGATTTGAAGGCATGATTCCTGAAGTGTTATCAGGTGAAGATCGCTGAAAAGGGTTTGAAGGCGTGATTCCTGAAGTGTTGTCAGGTGAAGGTCACCGAAAGGGATTTGAAGGCGTGATTCCTGAAGTATTATCAGGTGAAGATCGCCGAAAGGGATTTGAAGGCGTGATTCCTGAAGTGTTGTCAGGTGAAGGTCGCCGAAAGGGATTTGAAGGCGTGGTTCCTGAAGTGTTATCAGGTGAAGATCGCCAAAAGGGCGTGATTTGAAGGCGTGATTCCTGATTCCTGAAGTGTTGTCAGGTGAAGGTCACCGAAAGGGGCGTGATTTGAAAGGCGTGATTCCTGAAGTGTTATCAGGTGAAGATCGCCGAAAAGGGTTTGAAGGCGTGATTCCTGAAGTATTATCAGGTGAAGATCGGCGAAAGGGATTTGAAGGCGTGATTCCTGAAGTGTTGTCAGGTGAAGATCGCCGAAAGGGATTTGAAGGCGGGATTCCTGAAGTGTTATCAGGTGAAGGTCACCGAAAGGGATTTGGAGGCGGGATTCCTGAAGTATTATCAGGTGAAGATCGCCGAAAAGGGATTTGAAGGCGTGATTCCTGAAGTGTTGTCAGGTGAAGATCGCCTAAAGGGATTTGAAGGCGTGATTCCTGAAGTGTTGTCAGGTGAAGATCGCCGAAAGGGATTTGAAGGCGTGATTCCTGAAGTGTTGTCAGGTGAAGATCACCGAAAGGGATTCCTGAAGGCGTGATTCCGAAAAGGGATTTGAAGTTCCTGAAGTTATCAGGTGAAGATCGCCGAAAGGGATTTCCTGAAGGCGTGATTCCTTTGAAGTGTTGTCAGGTGAAGATCGCCGAAAGGGATTTGAAGGCGTGATTCCTGAAGTGTTGTCAGGTGAAGATCGCCGAAAGGGATTTGAAGGCGTGATTACTGAAGTGTTATCAGGTGAAGATCGCCGAAAGGGATTTGAAGGCGTGATTACTGAAGTGTTATCAGGTGAAGATCGCCGAAAGGGATTTGAAGGCGTGATTCCTGAAGAGTTGTCAGGTGAAAGATCAAAGGGATTTAAAGGCGTGATTCCCGAAGTGTTGGAAGATCGCCGAAAGGGATTTGAAGGCGTGATTCCTGAAGTGTTATCAGGTGAAGATCGCCGAAAGGGATTTGAAGGCGTGATTCCTGAAGTGTTATCAGGTGAAGATCGCCGAAAGGGATTTGAAGGCGTGATTCCTGAAGTGTTGTCAGGTGAAGATCGCCGAAAGGGATTTGAAGGCGTGATTCCTGAAGTGTTATCAGGTGAACATCGCCGAAAGGGATTTGAAGGCGTGATTACTGAAGTGTTATCAGGTGAAGACTGATACGTGATTCAACGAAGTATGTGCATTGTTGTTCTCGGGGTGCTGAAATTATATTCGGATTGAATGTATAGCACACTCTGGAAAAATTGTGTTGTCTCTGTTGACGAAGTATACACGTGTGTTCATGGTGAATTGCTGCTGGCCGACGCTCTTGTGTTTCCTGACATCCGATACAGGTGAGAAATGTGCACTGGAGGAATATCCTGTCCAGCGTTTAACTTGTTGTGGGTCGTATGCTTAGTGAGGTGTATCAGAAGGTAAATTTTTATAGGGTGAAAGTTATGCGTGTTTTCAATTTGGATTATCCCACAACAAATAGATTATTACACAAAGAACATAAGGACAATTGCATAGCAAGGATTGACTGAACAACGTGATTAGAGATCAACAATAAAGAGATTTTTATATACAATAAATACACATGCAAAGATAAACAGAATTTTTGCTGGTTTGGTAATTGAGATAATGTTGTGAAGAATGTTAGTGTAGAATTGTGGTAAGTAAATGTTGATGCATTTGGCTTGTTATAAAAATTAAAATAACTCCTGTTTCCGCGCAGCAAAATACCAAAATGCACTGTCTGTTAGTGTGCGTGCGCGTGCCATCCATGAGTCAGAACCAAAGCCGCTAAGAGTTGCTTGTCCCCTACCGATAGGCCAAATCGATGAATGCACAACCACTTCGACGCAGCGAAAACGTTCACCCACCAAGTCAACTGCAGGTGATGAATATCCACGCGGACAATGGCCACTGGAATCCCACGTTGAGTCTGCCGAGAAACCCCAAGTGGCCGCGAGTCAGCAAATTGAACAGCGTGGAGCCCGCACTGACCTCCCGAAACCTGATGACTGATTGACTTGAATTGAGTCTAGTGTTTGTTTATATAGAGTTGGGTGTTTAGAATTCGGCTTCAGGGACCTTAGCCGGGAAAAGGTTCTGTTGTGACTTTGCTACAGTTTTGACCAAGAATGAATTTTACTGAAACGAGATGTTGATTGGTTAAGGCTTTGTTTTATAGAAGGAAACATTTTTCCGAAAGGGTTGGAAGGTTAATATGGAAGATTCCAAAAACTATTAAATTCTTGCATTATTCCATTGCTCTGCGTAATTCAGTAAGTCGAGATGCGTACTCGAGTCCCGCAGACAGTGCATGCGGACTTATGTTGGCGAACAAAAAAATTCGTAGCGTCGTGACGAAGTTTGAAAAAAAATTGCGTATTAATGATAACTAAATATAGTCACCAATTTTTTTTTTTATGTTAAAGTTGCGTCATCATAGAATGTAATTCAGGACAGTAGGTCGTCCGCGGAATATTTGTTTAGGAGCGGCCAATGGCGGCTGCGACAAGATTTTAAAATTTGTAGTTTATATTTTTCCTCTATAATGGCGGTTCGATGAGTGACGATAAAATGTGCCAGTGTTTTTAAAATTGCCTAAAAACTTTACGTGCGGAAATTTAATTTTTCTTTTAATACGGATTAGGTTTTAAATAAATCCAAAATTTAACTTTAAAGAAGACATTTAAATTATTTAAAATACGTTTTTTTGGTTTGTACCTACCATTTTCAGTTTTACTTTTTCTAGAAGCGTTAAAAATATTGTTAATTTTTACAACAGATGTTTTTAGTTAATTGTCTATCATCAATTAACAATGAAAATATTTATAAGTGATGTTGAATAATTAAATGGTGAATATAAAAAATAATACGATAGACTAAATTGGTTTATTGCTCTTTCGCTTGAGGTGGAGAATAAACATTTATACAAAACTAAAAGAAATGTAAATTAAATAAATGGTTAATAAGTGTAGATAAAAAATAAACATTATAACAGTTTGGGTTTTGCTTATTTCACTTGTTTTTAAGAGAAGGGTTTTAAAAATCAAGTCAAAGAAAAGCCAGAGGATCAATAAAAAAATAAATAATTTGATATGAAACATTTTAAACTTTCTAAAAATAGAATGGATAAAAAACAAAAAAAAAAAATACAAAAAACTCCTAAAATAAGTCAGTCAAAGGCGGACATTTTTTTTTATTTAATTTTCAAATTTCAAAAAGACATACACTTCTGAACATTTTTTGACCAATCAGGAGGGTGACATATACCCACACAAATTTAAAAATTGTGGTCAACGTGGAGCCCATTTCGGGACTATATAAGAAATCGAGTTGAGCAGAAAATTGAAGGCGTCTAGAAAATTTCAAAAAGTACAAGAATAAGATTACAAGTTTTAAGGATCCAGAAGGAAACGAAGCAATGAGAAGGAAATTGGAAAGAAAAACAATTTTGGCTGTTAGCAATATAAATGATCTAGGTTTCTTTCTTACGGAGGAAGTAAGGAGCAAACGAAGAAAGAAACAGAAAAAGAGGTAGAATCTAAGTGAAGCTCGTGAAGTGAAAAGTTTTTTAAATAAATAATCGAAGTGTATTAAAAAAAAACGAAGAAATTTACCAGTGACTCTGGTAAACCTGCTAAAAAACCTTCTCATTTTCGATTAAGTTTTATCGTTTTTGAAAGGATCGGTATTTTGAAGCTTTTCTAAAAGGAATTGTATTGCATCTTCTTAAGGACGTTCAATTATGGAATTTTTTTTATTGAATAATTTAATTTATATCTATTTTAATGAGCCATAAAACATTCAAACAAACAAAAAGACACGTATTTTACAATTTCTGTTGTGTTTACAGATCCCTAATTTTACGGCTACTGAACATCCGGAACCTCTTTCGTCCAGACAACATCAAGTGGGCATTATCAGAAGACAACAAAATTTGTCTTCTTTTTTTTTTGTACAACTGTTCAGACAATCTAAAGAGCTGCGTTGATGCGTGTTAGAAAAATAAATTTGTATACTGGGCGTCTAGAACACAAAGATACAAAAAGGGCCATTTCGGCCTGGGGGAGAAGAGCAGTGAGCCAAAAACAGGCCCATCGTTAGGATATTATTACCAATGGGGAAATTGTCACTTTCCAAATCAAGAGGCCGCAAACCCTGTGAACGAGTTCTCGACAATGGGGGCCACAGACTCCTTTAGGAAAAGGTTCCCAAACAGGGTTCCACTGACTCATAAATATGTTTGGTATTTTTGAGTGATAGGAATTGTGAAAGAGAAAGACGGGGAGTGAGAGAGAGGAAGAGGAAGAGGAAGAGAGAGGGAAGGAAGGAGAAAAGGTAAAGAGAGAGAGTGGGGGGCAGATAGGCAGGTAAAATTTTGTACGTATTGCACCTGTTCATATTATTTAAGCACATATTTAAAAAAAACAAAAAAAAAAACAACAAATTTGAGTGTAATTTGTTAAAAAGAATCATCAAAATGCGAAGCAAAAACCACATGACGTCTGTTAATCTGGCAAAACTGATATTCCAACGTGTTATGAAAAAAGGGGAAAAGAAAGAAAGTGTACCCGAAAATAAGTAGTCTAATCCTAATTTGTTTTTTGGTTGTGATTTAATTGTGTATAGAAAAAAAAATTGAAAAAGATCACTACAGCCTAGATATTTAGTTTGGCACATGGCCATGTACATGATAAAACCCAATAAGAATATAACTCCCGACTACACAGTGGGCTGTGTGACTAGCTTACTAACATCAATAAATGATAATTGCTTCAAGGTGAGAGTACTTTATACATGTAGTCTTATACTAGACAAAATCTGACTTAAATATGAATTGTTGGTCAGTGCCTACCATATTATAATGGTTAGAATCATTTTTTTCACATTCCATTTTGATATGGTAATGAGTTAGATTCTCACTAGGTGACATGTTCACTGGCTGAGATAATTTGTCATTTCCAACCAGTGCCAAAGATTAGATTTTTTGGCAACCTGTTGATGCATGTTGAAATCCTCAGTATTTAATAGCGTTGAAGTAATTGCTAACTTTTTTGTCAAAATTTACAAATGCTACTTTCCCTACTGTGTTTATTTTTACAGTACTATTACTATGCCTTATATTTTACCAGAATTAAATATATATAAAAACTTAAAGATGTACAAAAAAAATATTGAATTTTTATTAAATATTTATTTTAATCATTTTTTAAAAAAAATAGTTGGAGTATATTAAATAATGAAACTCTTAACTTTTCCCAAAAAATGAATGAAAATTTATTGTACTACGCTATGCACACTAGTAAAACCAACTGTAATTTATACCCCCTTACCTGTTAGTACTTTTCCCCAAATTTTGATTTTGATCAGTCAATGTATGGCTATTTTAGAGGGTGTGACAGACAGATGAGTCACAGAATTTTATATATTGATAGAATCATTCCTATTTTGCTTGCTTGCATTTATTCCTGATGTTTTACTTTAATATCTTCTTATACATTTCTTGGTATTATTTGTTGCCTGAATAAATTTAGAATTTCACTGGTCATCCATTTTTTTCTTTCTTTTCTATCTTTCTTCAAGATGATTTGTTGTTGTCACTTGTCCTTCCTTTAAAGTGTTGTATATATTTGTTCATAATCAGTGTGGAATTTGTTATAATGAAGTTTAGTTATTGCTTTGATATTCTTTAATTATTTATAATTTTATCCACTACAATGAGAGTTGACAATGCCCCCACAGTCAGTTTTAAGAGTGTGAAACGGTATTCTTAAATTGTTTCTTGATGGTTACATAATCTATCCAGTGTTTGTTATCACCTGCTGGAGCTTTCTAAATTCATGAATGTCTTGGATGCTTTTTCATTAACTTCATTCAAAAACTTTTCCATTACAAAGAACTGCATACAGCAAAATCATTTTCATTTGTAAAAATCTACAATTTGCAAAGGAGAGAAATTAAAAAAAAAAAAAAAAAAAAAAAAAAAAAAAAAAAAAAAAAAAAAAAAAAAAAAAAAAAAAAAAAAAAAAAAAAAAGAAAAAAAAGGAAAAAGAAAGAAAGAAATAAAATGAAATATAACAAAGAAAATAAAGAATAAAAAAAAAAAAAAGGTAAAATTATTTATTATCTATATCATTTTTTTTTACATTGTCAATTATAAATTCTCCACTTGTCTTAGCGTCTTGATCAATGGCCATTTGTATATTTGTATCAACATCTGTAGCAGCAGGATTTTGATTGTGTGCTGAAGTTGGAGATTGTTCTAGAAGCTCTGTCTCCTGGACAGAAAAAAAACAAAATTCATTAAAAACAAGAAAAAAAAAATGATTTCTTTAGCTGTCTGAATCAGAATTCACAAGAACAAACAAAATGTATTTTACAGTCATTATATTTTTGAAGTAAAAAAAAAAAAAAAAAAAAGAATTAAAATAACTTAAGGATTTGAATAAAATTGTCAATGATTTTATCATTTGAAGTCAGTTGTAAAGAATGTTATGATTTTCTTTTTGGTTTTATGTGACAATCAGAATGTGAGAGAAGCATAAAAATTAACTGAAAAGTAATATGCTCTTTTTATCACAGAATATATATATATATATATATATATATATATATAAAAGAGTGAATGTCACTGTGTCACACCCTTTCAACGTTTACTATTAGAGGCCATAGACCAACATATATTATTTTAGAATCAGGCCAACCCTATGAGCAAATTAAAACCATTCTGGGCTGGATGCAGATTCTGCAATCCTGAAATTTTGGATTCACAAGTTTTCATTACTGATTGTTTTCACGATTTTTTTAATATGATTTTTTGCGAAAAATTTTTTTTTTAAACGATAATTTTTAAAACTTGGAAATCAATTTGGGAATAATCAAAATTAACTCCAAAATCCAGCAAAAGTCACCCATGAAATAAAAATAATTGTTTGTACAGAATGTAAGGACCTGCATACATCAAATTAAGTGTCGGCAGAAGAATTATCATTGACTTTTAAAAGGTAAACTTAGATAATAATGCAATACTTAAATACTCCCTACCTAATATGATGAAGGCCCAATCAAGAGCCACCCACAGGAGCTAGCTTAAATGCTGCTTAATAGGGTGGCTTTTAAGCTAGTATGTGTAGAAGATAGAAGACTATTAACACAACTTTAAATGATAAATAATACTAATAAGTAGAATATATATAATAAATAAAAGAAAATAATCATCAATTATATATAAGAAAATTATATATATATATATATATATATATATATATATATATATATATATTTTTTCTAAGCATTGCTTAGATGTATGGAGGCACTCAAACTCACTCTTTAGTCATAATTGATCTAGCGAGACAAGCTTGTTAACCACTACACTACGGTGAGGTGCCCAATTGTGTGTGTGTGTGTGTGTGTGTGTGTGTGTGTGTGTGTGTATGCATTTCTTTTTAAAAATTTATATCAGCTATCTTCTCAGTCCATTGCAGGTTTGTCAGGCCTGGGTGAGCGTGTCTGCCAAACTCGCTCATGTTGGATCATAGGCTCGAGTTCAGAGTTGCTCTTCTTGACTGGCTACAAAATGAAAACTCCCTCCACAGTAGGTTTTTGCATTCATAGGACTGAGAAAAAGACACATTACATGATGCATCAGTATGAAAGGCGAACCCAACAGCGTTGGCTAGTATCAGAACTGTACAACAACAGCTTTATACAATCAGCACACACACTATATATATATATATATATATATATATATATATATATATATATATATATATATATATATATATATATATATATAACCAACCTGTGAAGTAATACAAAAGTAGAATAAAAATAAATCCATGAATTCTTTAGAAATATTTATAGTGTGACAATTAGTGTGTAGAAAAAATATAGTGAGATATGAATACAAATAAGTGCAAATTTTGGCTAGACTGTTTAAGCTAGCAAAAGATGATGTCAAAATAGACATTTACCCATTCAAAAATGAATACTCTTAAATAAATAAAATCAAGTACGAAATTAACAAAATAAAATTAAATAGGAAAACAATATTAGAAGACTTCTCTGCACTCTCCTACACATTACCCAACCATTCAGCCAAAAGGAATTATATATATATATATATATATATATATATAGGCAGCATATTTCCATTCAAACTGCTTTGGTTAAATAATTTAGACATATGTTAATTAGTTTTTATTGTGATCCTTTCAAGTTCACAGATTAATTTCTTGGTAGCCTTAGAAAATTGATGAAAAAAAATACCAAAATTTTCTTTCAAATAGTTTTTATTTTCCCAAGTACTTTCAATCTTATGTGAGACCATCTTCTTGGGGTTAAGTTGTCTGTGAATTTGTATATGTGTTTCTGTAAATTCAAAACATTTCAACTGTTCATTTTTACTGCTTATGCAGCATTCTGGATTTCAAAGTTCAAGTGTTTTTTGGGGTCCCCTCCCAGTATAAGGGGGAAGTAACTTTTCCATTTTTGCTCATACATATATAATTTTTTTCTTATAACCATATAAGGACTTTGTTGTTATACTCATAGTAGACTTTATTTATTTTGGGCTTTAACTCTCTTATATAAAGGGCTTCAAGGATTTTTAGTTCTTGCTTATTATTGTTTTTATGTAATATAGATTTATTTTCAACTAATATCCGTCTAATCTGTAAGTGAGGGCGTGAGTGTTCCTTTAAGTGCTGATATATTGAGATATGTTGAGCCAAATGAAATGCAAGACTTTTTGTTAGCATCGTCATAGTAAACCAACATATATATTGACATTTTTATCAGAGATAGATTATCCTAAAAGACATTTAAATTGCAAGATGGTAATTGGCGGAGAAGAATGGTTTTGGACAACTAGGTTGGTTGTATTAAATTTAGTATAGTATATAATTTATTTTATTTTTTTACTTGGATTAGTGGGAGATATATTAGTGTTTATTATGAGTTTTTTAAGAATTTATATACTTCCTTTTTTTATTTGATCCTCTATATACCTGTATGTATGTTTGTGTATGTATAAATATTGACAGTTGGTTTGTGTAGATTTATTAGTGCATTTATGCTTGGATTTTGGTGAGTCAGATTATTCGTATATTTGTATGTATGTGTGATTGCTTGTATATGCTTTTTTTACCCGTATATACATATGACTGACAAAATTTTCTTTTGTATGTTTTTATATGTGTGTTTGCCTTCATTTTTATTCTTTTTTATTTTTATATTTTTCCTTCCTCTATTTCATGTGTGAATATACTTCCCTGTATTTGCACGCTCATATATTTACCTGCCTTTACTTATACATACGTGTTTGCGTATTATTATGTGTATGTGTTTGACCTGTCATTTGAAAATTCCCTTCCTTCTCTACCTACTTTTTTGATTTCAGACTTCCATGTATCAAATATGTGTAGTGATCAGTGATACTTTTGTCATCTGCATCAAACTTCACTGATAAATTGACACTTTGTGAACAAAAATAAATTATATCTAATTTTTTCCCTGGTTCCATTTCTGAATAATCTTAAAATAACATTAAACTTGATGCTTGGTTAACTTTAGAATTTAAAATTTGAAATTTTTAATCTTAAATTCATCTGTTAAATTAAATTTAATTTTTATATTGATTTCTTATTTAATCTAATCTTAACTTTATTGCACTAATAGATTGTACTTATACTAGAGTATGTTATGTTATTTTAAATTACCATATACTTGTATTCTGATTGGTCATCATAGGTTATGTAACAAAGTTTCCCCTACTGAGGGGAGTTTGGTTGGTTTTTGAACTCTTATTATAATATATAAATATTATTAGCTCTATTCATTATTGAGTACTCTTTTAAGAATAGTGTTTTTGGTTATTGGAATTTATTCCATGTGTACCAACCACGTACTTGAATATATATATATATATATATATATATATATATAGGAAATAGTTGTTTCAATGAGAGAAAAGTGTATATTTTAAAAAGACAAGAGAAACCGCAAACATTTTTGGTTGTAATGTGGATTTTTAAAAAAATATATATTATGCTTTATTTTATGGAAAATAAAGCATAATAAATATTTTTTAAAAAATCCACAATTTCTTCTTTTTAAAATATATATATGAATGCATAGATCAAACATGGATTAGAATCCAATAGAATGATAGGATAAGGAACAAATACAAAACATTTATAAATTTAACATGTTTCACTTTTATTTAAACTTCATTGAAAATGTAATATGGAGGAGAAAGAATATTCTGGTATTGTTTTTTTATTTTTGTGTTTATTGTTTATTGGTTAAGTAGACCTCAGGATTATTTGTTTTGTGTGTATAGTTCTTGAGTTTGAGTATCATAATTTTAGTTTGTCTATGTGGGAATGCCCACAAGACGCATAAATGCACACATTATTGATCAAATTACGTGTGGACTAACTAGAATTATTGGACAGTTTTAAGAAACTTGCTGAGGCCTTACAGTCAAAAAATATTTATAATTAACAAAACAGTCGCTGATGGTATGTGTATATATATATATATATATATATATTTTCATTGATAATAAAAGTTAACAAGATGAGGTTAAAAATAGATTTAAGAAAAAATACAGAAATAATTAATATTTTTAATTTAGTATTTAAACATTAAAAATGAAAAAAAATAAACGGAATTTTCATTTGAGAAATTCACAAGTCAAGGGAAGTAACTCTTCAAATATGCTGTACACAATTATTGAGACTGTCTAAATCAGTGTTTCCCAACCTTGTGGCCATGGCAAATTTCAGGTGGGCCACAGACATTTTATAATTGGATACATTCTATGTAAAATGGGAGTAATTTTTTATACTATAATGGCTTCATGGACTGTAGAAAAATTCTGGGTTCAAAGTGGACCATGAGCTAAAAAAAAAGGGTCGGAACCACTGGCCTAAGCCTTGGATGATACGAATAGATTTGAAAGACCATATTGTGTTATCTGAAGTGGGCAGGCCTTATATATATTCTTCTTCTTATTATTATTTTTTAGTTCATCAATAAAACGTTTCTTGTTTTTTTTTGGTTGACCGATATATTAAAAAAGAACATTACTCGATTTTTAAATCTACTGTCTTTCTGTATGTGCAAGATAATGAAATTCCTCAAACCAGCACTGCCAAGGGAAATCTACAGTCTATCTTAACAGCAACGAAATTTGCAGTGGTAATTGTTTAAATACTTTCATATCAGCGAAGATTGCAGATTTTACAAGTATAATTAAGAGAAGGCAAGGTAACATTCAAATTACGAACTTTCTGTTATATATGTAACAAGCAAAATAGATTTCTTTCAGTGTTTGTTTATAGAAGGGGACATTTTTATAAGGGTAATTCCATATTTTCTGAAAATAAAGTTATTTGAGATATAAAGAATCAATGGACACAGTATGACTTATGACTATTGCAATAGAAATCAAAAGAAAATTTTAAATCCGTTTTTTTTATGTGGATATTGAAGTGGGATTTGGGAAGAAAGAAAGAATGATATTGTGGGAGAGGGATTTGGGGAGAAAGAAAGAATGATATTGTGGGAGAGGGATTTAGGGAGAAAGAAAGAATGATATTGTGGGAGAGGGAGTTAGGGAGAAAGAAAGAATGATATTGTGGGAGAAAGAAAGAAAGAATGATATTGTGGGAGAGGGAGTTAGGGAGAAAGAAAGAATGATATTGTGGGAGAGGGAGTTAGGGAGAAAGAAAGAATGATATTGTGGGAGAGGGAGTTAGGGAGAAAAAAAGAAGAATAATATTGTGGGAGCGAATTAGAAAAAAGAAAGAAAAATGGTATTGGAGAGAGAGAGAAAAAGAGAGGGGGACTTGGGAAGAAAGAAAGAAGAAGGGCATTGAGAGAGAGAGAGGGTGGGAGTCGGCCAAATCTTGTTATTGGCAGAGATTACCTTTTCAGCCAAAGTTCTCAAACGAATGCCTTCACTTTTGAGACTGTCAATAGCAGCACTGAATATTTTTTCCTCAGGAAGTTCACCTTTTTCTTGAAGTTCAAAGTATTTTTCTACCAATCTGCAATGAGAAATAAGAAAAGAGGTTAATAGCAAGTTATGATTGTAGGACAACATTTTCACTGTTAGTCTACAAACATTTCTAAAATCTGACCTTGTGCCATACTAAGCTGGCAAAAAAACCCACACACACACACATTTCTTTAAAGAATAAGCAAGGATAATGGCACATTATGGGGAGAAAAAAATGCTAGTTTCCAGGTTTTAAGAAGTAAATCATTTCATTTTAGGTAATGAGAAAGAAAAAAGAAAGCAGCAGATCAAAATGTGACAAATAGGCGGGCAGTGATGTACGAGTGTAGGTTTGCATATATGAGGGAAAAGGGAGACGTTGACACATGACACCACGGATAGCTAGACATGTGCAGCATTCCATCGTTCAGTCAAATGGCAGTGAGAAACAAGGTCAGATGTATGGAAACACCACTCAGTGACTGCACCATGAAGGAACAACATGTCATAGTGTGCTGTGCACAGAGGAAGTCAAATTTATTGCTGGATATTGACACAGAATGGAGCAAGCACCATGAATCTACGAAAGGTGTGTAAGTGGGTAGAATACTTTCAAGCAGGAAGAACAAAATTAATGGACAAAAACCGATCTAGTCGTCCATCAACATTGAATACAGAAAAATACATCCAGAAGGTGGATGTTTTGATCAGGGAAAACCAGAATATCATATTAGTACATGTGGCGGCAATTCTGAGCATCAGCTAATGAATCTGTACAAGCCATAGTGAATGATGATTTGGGGTACAGTAACATTTGTGTGTGTTGGGTGCGCCTAAACAAGCACATGGTGCAGATGTGGCTTTGTGATCAACCAAAGAGCTTCTTTTCAGATGTGGCTTTGTGATCAACCAAAGAGCTTCTTTTCAGATGTGGCTTTGTGGTCAACCAAAGAGCTTCTTTTCAGAATGAGTGAAGACACTCATTGAGTGAACCAGAAATAGGGGTGGGATGTCAAAAAGTGACATATGTATTTGTTATTCATCAGTGGAAATAAAAGGTGTTGCATGTAAATTTCAGAGCTGTGGAGTCAGAAAAACTATACCGATTCTGACTTCAGTTGAATTTACACTTTATATAAAAAGTCTTACATTATAGAATTTTTATTTTCATTGTTACTTCTTCTACTGTATATTTATTATTTCATTTAAAAAAATTCATCAAAACTTCTTTTTTAAAGTCATTTTATTTTTTGTAGTTATGTTGTATTTGTAAAACTATATATGTAAAAAAAAATCTTACATTATAGAATTTTTTAGGCAAAGATATATGTCTTACATTATAGCATTTTTATTTTTATTGTTATTTCTTCTATATCCTTTCCAATATTTTGTCTCTAATTCTGTTAGAAAATATTGAAGAATGAAAAGGTATGATATAAAAGCCACAACATCTTTATTCTTTGATATAAACCATTTGTAATGATATAGGCCTACTCAAGTAAGGAGAGTATGTATAGACTTTACAAGATTTGTAGGCCATAATCACTTAATAAAAAAAAGAGGAGTCAAGGTTTTTTGTTTCGACGCCCTGGTAAATTTCATTTACTTTTTGATTTATCCTTGTATGATTTTAGACAGAAGAGTGTTGAGATATATGCCATTTCAATGGTTGTATGATACTTGATAGCATATAAGATGTACTCCTGGTCACAAAAAAAGGAAAAAAAACAGCCTTCATTTTATATGTGAAGTTGCGACCTCATTTAGGCTAATTTTACTCTCTACTTCTAACTATAATTTTACCTCAGATTGTCAATTATACAAAGTTTGATACCACATAATATTATTTCCTCAAATGACAGTTTGACTATTATTATTGGTAATATGAAAAGAATTATTGTATCAAAGTGCCAGCAATGTTCATTAGTACCAGCTGGTGTTAAACATACCTACAACATAAATATAACATACATTTTTTTTCCCCTTGTAGTAAAGTATAACTGAAAGAGAATCTTCGTAATGGTAAAACACTACCGTGGGAAAACATAAGATAAAGGCTGCAGGGTAAAAAAAAAAAGGACGAAAAGTCCTTCAGTTGAAACAGCTATAGGAGAATGACTGGTGAAAGGGTGTGGCTGTTTTTACATGTGGCATGTACAGTAGCGGCTGTTTTTGTAATGATTTGCAATTGGTAGCTTACTTTAAATATTCCATGCTTAAAAAGACTAAAAACATTCTTCCTGAATTTTCTCTGTTGAAATCATGGAGGGGGAGTGGAGCAGTCTAATGTGTTTTTATGCTATCAGATATGGAAGTTCATTTAAATTGTTATAATAAATTCAGATTCAAAATTTTCATTAAAATAAACCAAAAAACTGTTACTGTTTAGAAACTCTCAAGAATAGAGAAATACAAATAAAAATAGAAAATGGTTTGGTTTATATTTCATGAACTTCAGTCATAATTAACAATTTTTTTAAATAGTATTTCAGATATTTTTTTTTAGATGAAATGTTTTTAAAGATGTCCTTGAAGCACTTTCTAATGACCATCAATAAAATCTTGTTTTGTTATAGTTCTGGATTTTCACCTTCCATAAAAATAAAATAAAACAACAAAAAAAAAAAAAAAAAACAATAGAGGGAAATTCTTAGATGTACTTACTTTTGACAAGTAGTTTTTATATTTTCATTAGTCAAATCCACAACATCAGGATTGCCATATGTGGAATAAAATTTCCTAAAAAAAAAAAAAAAAAAAAAAAAAATCAGAAAAAAAAATCAAATCAGTTGAACAAAAAGTTAATTTTTTCAGATATTCTTGACTTAAAAAACATGTTATTTTTTTTTTCTCCATTTTTTAAATATAATCAAATTACATAAAACAAAACTATATTACTTGATCAAGAGAGAAAATTCTTTTTATCATTTAACTACCAAAAACAATTTATACCCAACTTGTATTCCATATAATTTTTGAACTACTGTTTTCATCACAATTCATTCTACAACCTTCACTGTTTGGAGTGATTGTTTTTTTTATGGATTATCAACCTTTTGCAGGTTAATTAAAGCCAGAAAATATTTTAGATTATAAGAATTTTTTTTAGATAATGATTTACGGATACAAGTCTTACTATTTAACCTGTAGCTGGGGAGAAAGAAGTGAATTCATACCTTTCAAAAAAGTATTTACACATAAGTGAATATAATGAACCCAACTGGAATTAAAACTTGATTTTGAACAATTATCCATTATATCACCTGCACAGCCAAGCTTACAGCACCTGGTATTGCTAAATGGTCACCCATTGAGGTACTGACCAGGCTTGGCATTGCTTAACTTTGATGATTGTACAAAAACAGTGTCTCAATGTGATATGGCCATAAACACCTAAATTCCTTGTATACCCATTGTCACCATGTTGATTCCAATCTGGAATGACTGCAAAACACTTACCCCTTCCCAATTTATAGGCAGAAGCACACAAATGCATGCTGGTTTTTTTTCCTAGCCAATAAAATAGGCTGGTTCTCGGCTTCATCTGTCTCAGTTTCAGTCTGTCTTGCCTTGAAGTCAGAACGCTATGTTTGCTTGTCTGAACTGACTTTTGTGTCAACCCCAAGTCTTACTTTGTGAATTTCTTGCTGTATTACTGTTGCTTTGTCTTGCATATATTGTTTGCTTGCTTTATATTATTTCTGCCTTGTTCTTTTTCTTGATATTGCAACTTGGAGGACAGTTCTGTTACTTATTTTGCATTTGACTATGGTGACTCACTCCACACTCTCAAGTAGAACACACCAGTCGAATGGAATTAGTTACCAGGGAAAAAAGAAAGCAAAGTGAATTTTATAAACTGAATGTAATCGAGATCTAAAGAAATAATCTATGGAATAAATACTTCAAGTACCTCAGACAACAAAGACAATATAATTAGATGGCCTCAACCATTTTTTCTTCTTAATTTCTGGTCAGGAAATTGGTTGATATGAATTTGAGGGTTACACCCCTCCCTCACCAATCTGTGGACCAGAGATGTTATTTAAGGAAGGAACAAACACCTGATGAATGTTGGAGAGCAGACCAGTTGAAAAAGTAATGAAAACTATATAATACAAGCGAATGTTAGTCAATCCTCAACTTAATAGATCCTAATTAATAGCTTGGGTGGAGTGGGGGAATTCTTGTCACACCTGCTAATTAAAATGAATGCAACCATGGAGCGTCAGTATAAGATATTTCAGTTTCTCCTTAGGAGTTGATCTGTGTGTGTTGTCTTAAGAACCCTTGTCAGTGTGAACAACGATTTGTCTTTAATATTCTACCCCAACAAAAACAATAAATACTCTCATACAAATAATTTCTTTCTATGTTAACCATCTCTCAATTAAGATACTGATGATATCCATATGGATCATATGATGATATCCATATGGGTCATTTGATGATATCCATATGATGATATCCATATGGGTCATTTGATGATATCCATATGGGTCATTTCCCTCCCTCCACATCAGTGGTTCCCAAACATTTTTTTTTCTCTGGGCTGCATTTTTGGAATGAAGTTTTGCTTGCACCTCACCAAAGGGAAGTCCCAATGAAAAGGTGCAAGCAGCCCTACAGCAAAGAAGGTCCAGAAAGAGGATTAAAGGGAGATAACCGCGGATTCGAAATCAGAACATTATTATTGATAACTTTCTCCTCCAATTTGCAGACCCTAGTTACAATATTCTTAATATTTGATATAATGCAAAAATATTACAATCATAAAATCACTCAATAATTATTCATAACTATTTATATTAGACTCATGCATGCAATTACAAGTAATTAAATTTTGAAATCATATTTATTTTGAAATATGATGTTTTAAAACTGTTTCTAAATCTTTGTCTTTTAATCATTCTGGCATGCTGCACCGTTTGGGAACAACTGCTCTACATATTATATCTGAAAATGAGTAAAAAGATGGTACGTACGCTCTGACGATATCTTCTGGATACAGAAGATTAGGAATCTCTTTATTTGGTTCTTCTTGGTTCAATTTTGGTTCAACAGCTGGAGGAAAAGCACGGTAGACATCATACCAAACTGGTTTATCTGCATCTGAAATGGCACCTGACCGCAAGAGACCAGTGATTCTAAAAAGAAAATGGTTTTAGACTTTCATAAAGAATTCTTTTATTTCAGAAAGTTTTTAATCCTGGAATAATAAAAAAAGATTTATGACAAAAATCTGAAAACTGAGAAGATATTTTCTCAAATTCTTACATGAGATATTTTCATTATTTCACAACATTATTCAGACTTATCTTCATCTTTGTTGTTTTTAACACATGTTTTTGGCTGATATATTCTTCAGCCTTCCTCCAAAGCCCTTGGATGAAGTGTCTTTCTAATAATTCTATAAATATTTTCAGATTGTTATCTTCATCTTTGTTGTTCTGAACAATGTTTTGACCAATACAGTCTTTGCCTTTCTTCAGGTTGTATGTTGTACATAGTCTATAAGTTGTGATTGATTTGCCACAAATGAAAACAATCTTATTTGCCATCTCATTCTTTAACACAAAACTTTAGCCTTGCGATTCTGTGATGGCGGGGGGGAGATCTAAGTTAAGAAAAAGATTGGTGGAGGGAAAGCTTGAATGCTTATGCTGAACAACATGCACATGAGTAGGTCCCCAAAATGAATTACAAATAAAACACTGTGTTAAAAATAATGTAGTATGATAATGCTGGGGCAGATTTTGCACTCAGTGTGGAAGCCAAGTGTACTGGCCTGAGAGATGACCTCCTAGTCACTGAGTGCAGATTTGTGCCTCACACGATGTCAGAATGTGCACATGTGGGAAAAACTATATGACAGGCAACACCTACCCCAGAGGAAAGACAGTTTCATATAAACTGAAGAGAATGTGTAGAGGAAAAGGTTTGTGATTTTCTTTTCTCTCATACTAAATAAAATTTTTCCTGTTTTTTTATATGCATATTTAGTTATGATGCATCTGTGTACAGTTAATTATATGAAAATTATATTTATTCATTATTTGGAAATACAATAAAGAATTTGTAAGTGTATGAATATTTGTTTCCTGCCAACTATATATATATATATATATATATATATATATATATATATATATATATAAGGTGTATTTCAGCAGAAAGAATTCTCTCAAACACGTTTTGGTAAATAATACAGACAAGTTCTGTCTATCAATTTTTTTTATTAAATCTTTCAAATTTCCTAATAAGTTGTTTTGTGTTATCAGTAAATTTGCCAAACTTTTATTTTATATCCCCACCCCCTCCAAGTACTTTCAAATGTTGCTACATTCATTTTCAAGGATTGTTCTGTGTCTATTTACGCAACTGGTTTTTAATTCTGGTGTTCTCATGTTTGATAGAACTAATTTCAAATCACTCCAGGTGACATTATGTAGAAGGTCAAACTGAAATTTTTGTGTGTATTTGATATTTTTTATATTAAAACATACTTCTGTATATGATCCCATGTAAGGAGAGGTATGCACACACACACACACATATATACATATATATATATATAACATTTTTCACAGCATAACACAGATACTACACTGATCTCAGGTTGAAGAGCCAATCTACATGCACAAATACATTTATCTTTTTGGATGAATACTATTCTAGTTATGGTTAAGCCTTGACTTGGGATGTCAGTCTGATAGAATCTCATTAAATTGTTATTTGATTTTGCGCTAATGATATAAATATGGTAAGAAAAAAAAATTAAATAGCTTGTTGTTTTTGTTTGAACTGTTTCATGAGCTCATCATTCTGCTTGGGTTCATTACATTCTCTTATGCACAAATATCCTTGGGAAAGTTATGAGACCATATCTCCTCCCAGCTATGGATTAAATAGGATTTGTCTCTGCAAAAACTTATTTGAAAAAAATTTTATTGCAATATTCACTCAGAAAAAAAAAGAATTATTCCTACAATTCAAAATGTTTTGGTTTTACATAACTAAGAAAGGATTGATAAACTATAAACAAATCATGAATTTAACCAGGTAAAATTATAAATAAATGAAAAGAAATGGTCATTAGATTCTCTTCTAAATTTCTTGGATTTTTACCAGAAATGTGTTTCAGTTGAGGATGGACAGAGAATGCTAGGACTAAAATATTGAGCTTAAATAAAATAAAAAAAAGATGAAAATTTAAAGTTTTTGAAGGGTGTGTGTGAATTGGGAGTTTTACCAGAGTTGGCAAATGGAAATAGAGACTGGAGCCAGATTAGGAAGAAATTTAAAAAAAAAGTGAGAGAAAAGAAAGAAGCTAAATATTTCTTAAATAATACTTCAATCTAAAGGTCCGAATATTACCATTTTTTTTTCTGCCATAGGTGAATTCTCTTCATGTTTTTATAATTTTGTCTTTGTTTTTTGTATTATTTAAAAAAAAAAATGATAATGCATATTCTTTCTAATCTTGCATTTTCTTTTCAGAAATTGTTTTAAAATATTCTAAAATTTTAATCCACATTAAAACCCTGTCAACAACAATAAAAAATCTAACGAAAACAAAATTGAACAAAAAATAGTTTAAATTTATAATTAGTAAAAAAAATAATTTAAAATACAGAACAATTTCCTAAATTTTCTAAAGATGGAATCCATTCTAAGTTATCTCCCTTTACTCGTCTCGAATCTCAAAAATATTGTAGCGATAATAAAACAAAAAACACGAAATAATAAATATTAAGAAAATTAAATTTATTTAATAAAAAAAAAGGTTACATATTAATTTACAGAATTTGAATTCACTAAAGAAAATGACGAAAATTTATTTAAAAAATACAAGAATTTGTCTGTAAGGATTTCTTTTTTTACTTTTGTTGGGGAAAAAAACGAATTTATATTCAATCAAATCTTATTTCAAATCTTTCTTCGTAAGTTTGCTGTTTATTATTTAAAATTCCCCAACTTTTTAAAGGATACTTCGAAAAATCTGTTTCTGGCAGCAAAAAATCGTGAAGGACAGAATGATCGAACAAAAAGAAAGATGTTGTTAGAAGATGAATAACACTTCAGGAATTTTATTAATTCAATAATTGAAAGAAATCTCCTAACTTTGGGGATGGGGGGAGGCATTCAATAATTTTCTCTTTTCAAGTAAAAAAAAAAAAAAACAAAACAATGCCAATGCCAACAATGGTAAAAAGAAAAGAAAATTAAAAGTTAAAACGAAAACAGGATCATATGTCCTGAGTGAAGACAGTAACAAACAATAATTCTAATAATCTAAATATACACATGAACACATAATCATTAAGTTAAGCAAAATAAATAAGACAGAAATTTTGCAGTAAATAATAATAAAAAGAAGAATATTTTTTTTCACCTTGAAAATTACAAAGAGAGGTAACTCGATATATACATCAGCACGTGTTCTTTCAAATGCAAACAACAATTAGATATCAACGACAATAAATTGTTATTTCTTCAATCAAGTTAAAAAATAAGATAAATTTCTCACGAACTGGACAATTTCATGAAAACGTCAGAAACTTACCTGGTGAAAATACTACCAATTTTCTCTCTCCGACTGGCAGCCATGATTAAAAGCTATGCAATGTAGGGGGAACCCTCCGCGTAAAGGTAACCCGCCCCCTTACGTCATTAAGACAAAACTACATCATGTTGATATTTCAAAAATAAAACCTTTATTTCATTCTCTTATATTTAGTGATGTTTTGATTCTTTCAGAAATGAAGATACACACTATTTAATGTAAAATTAGAATAACTAGGTCAAACACGAACGAAATACCAAGTCATGAAATGATTGCACTCATGAATTAAAATTATTAAATTATTATAGGTACATACGCCTTTTCCGAAATGAAGGCAAAAAAAAAAAAAATAAAAAAAAAAAAAATCGTTACTCCTTGTTTTTGTTTTGTTTTGTTGGTTTTGTTTCTTTAGTTTAACGGCGATATGTGTGTTTTATGTTGTAGTTTTGTTGAAGTTATATTTTGAAATACAGTTTGATTTTTTTAAGAAATTGTAGGATATTATATAGATCAATATCATGAAAGAGTTCTTTCATTTTCGTTGTTGGTTGATTTTGTTTAGCGGCATATCAACTTCTCTGGGTTAGTGAAATCTAAATATTTTGAACGCAACCACATGCCTTCAACTACAGATAAAATGTATTGCTGGTAATTTTACGAGAAAAATGTATTTTTATACGTTCACAGTATTTTATTTACCAAAAACCAGGGAATTATTATCCGATTCAAATGGAATTACCAGTACCTATTCATTAATAAATGAATCGTATACTGAATAGGTTATTTTATTAGAAAACGTTGTAGAAATATTTTTTGGAGTTTGTTTCTGTGCACTTTTCGATATCTTGTGTGTACTTTTTAATCTGGGTGGATGTTCGTCAAATTTCTTTATAGTTAAGTAAAGAAAATCCCTAAAGATGTTATTTCATTAAAAAAAAATTATGATATATAGGGTTGCCAGATTAGAAAATTAGAAATTACGAGGCACTCTTAAAATCAATCAATCACTCTCTCTCTCTCTCTCTCTCTATATATATATATATATATATATATATATATATATATATATATATACCTGGGTATAATAGAATTTAAGAGAGTTGTCGGGACCGGAGAAGAAGTCTCTTATATCCGGGTTTCTCTATATCAAATAACGTTTGGTTTATTTTATATACATTAACACAGGCTCTAATTTGGAACCAGAAAAATCTTTCTTATATCCGAGTTTCTCTTATATCCGGGTTACACTGTATATATATATATATATATATATATATATATATATATATATATATATATATATATATATATATATATTAGTAGTAATAATCTTATAAATATAAGAAATTATACACGTCCGAAAACCTTCGGTGTCTTGATTTGCGAATAATCAAACCAATCCCAATGGGAAAAAAAGGTATATAAAAAGAAAGAACCAAGAAACATGTACGTCAACCGAAAATAATCGTCTAGCATGCAAGTCCAAAGTCCAAAGAAAAAAAAAACCGATACGAGTAAGCAAAATAACTAAATAAAGTGCTTAATACGGTAAGTAGAGCAGACCTAGTTAAACCTAGAGAGTCAGACAAACCTACCAAGGTTTTAAAGTAAGCATTGTCAGGGAAGCCAGCCTTCCCTGACGATCCGCTTAGCTGAAACCGTGGTAGGTTTGTCTGGCTCTATAGGCATATATATATATATATATATATATATATATATATATATATATATATATGTGTGTGTGTGTGTGTGTGTGTATGTGTGTGTGTATTTAGGCAGCAATCCTTCTTTCATGCGCATTTCATTGAATACGACAGACAAGGTGCTTTGATTTAGTTTTTTATACAATTTCTCATGGGATCTAATTTTCGGATGATAAATTATATAAAAACCGTCCGAATGTTCTTTTTATCCGAGCGCTTTCGGCTATACATTTAGCCATTTTCAAGGATTAAATATTTTAACTATTAAATAAGAAATAGCTTGTTGCATGTATGTTTTGTAAAACATTTTCATTTTTCAAAACACGGTCAAGATATTGTGTCCATATATTTATAATTAGTACGATAGTTAATGAGGAAACTGCTAATAATACCATTATCAGTACTGTGATAAGCAGGAACTGTTATAGTTTTTTATGATTCTGTAGCGCCAGTAACGTATTTTATCAACACAATGCATGACACATACAGTGAAAATATTATGACATAAGAACAATGAATAACTTGGCAGTGGTTATGGTCATTTCCCACCATTTTGGCTGCTGGCGGTTTCATCTATTTTTAATATATCGTTATATTTATATTTGTATATCTTGCTTCTTTTGTGAGATGTGCCAACCTCCAATTGTGAACGAGTTATTTTTATTGCATTTTCTAAAATAAATGATGAATGTTATGGCAGAGGATGTATGTACTAGTTTGCCGCTGTCTGCCAGTATTGTTCTTGAGAGTATGATTTCTATTTGGGGTGCTAGGATCCGAGTTTAAATCTCGAGCGAGTCCATTATCATCTTACACCTTCGCTACCACTTTCAAAACCCGATGAGTCAAATATCTATTTAGTTTTCATAAAATGAATCTTAAAGCACTGCTAGGATCAGCATGGGATGGTTATCTTACACAATTGTCTAGTTTTATGATTCTCGTTCAACTTTCGAGCGGTACTGTGTTTAATTCTTGTATATTTTGTTAATGGAATAAAAGGAATGAAGAACTTGAATAGAGAAGAGACAAAGTATGGTTGGATTGGTTCTTCTTTTATGTTCCGTGTCTCTTCAAGGCGTAGGCGATCATGGCTCTCTACATCTTCCTGTCCCTTATCCTTTTTGTTATTTCTCCCGGACCCTGTTCTACCATCCATTTACTCGAGCTTATCAAGTATGTTAAGCGCTGCTTTCCTCTGTTCCTCTTTGCCTCAATCTGAGTATCAGATTTTCCAAGCCTTCCTTCCTCATTACATGCCCCAGAAATTTCAACTGACTCTTCTGGATATTAAGTACAAGTTTCCGTTTTGTTTCCATTTTCTCCAAAACCTCGCCGTTGCTGGCATGTTTGGTCCATGGTATCCTCAGCAATTTTCTGTATGACCTCATTTCTGTTGCTTCAAGTCACTTCTTCATCTTTCAGGAGATTGCCCAGCATTCATTGCCATACAAGAAGACAGATATCACGTAACAATTCACTACTCTTTTCTTTGTTTTGAACGAAGTATTCCTTTCTCTTAATACTCTGCTTAGCTTTTGGAATGCATCTTTGACCATCCCAATACTTTATCGGATTCTCAATTGAACAGATCTCTCTGTTCTTAAACTTCTCAGTATTTAAATTTTTCTCCTTCCTCTAGTATCCCCATTTCTCATTTGTATTTAAATTTTCTTTTCCTTTTTTGATTTTTAGTTTATATCCCAAATTTCTAATTTTCTGATGTTCCATTGTATAAATCCTTTTCATTTTTGCTTTTTTTTCGCAAATTATAACATTATCTAATCTATCTAATATTTTCATCTGCATATCTTTATTTTTTATCTGTAGGAATCTTTTTAGGATTTCTCCTTTCCATGTGCTTTTAAACATTAAATAAGTCAACCTAACCCATTTTTTTTTTAATACATTTTTTTTTATTATCTTTTTTATTATCATTATTATTATTATTATTATTTCATGTTTATTATTTGAAATTATGGACACACTACCTACCAAGTCTGCGGAAAAGACCTAAGGCAGGTCATGGTGTGTTGTATTTCCACATTTCATGTTAATTTTTTTTTTTTTTTTTTTTTTCTCTGATGAAGTTGCTAGCGTTACATAGACAAAGTTCTCCTTAGTGTGTGTTGCTGTAAATAAGACAATTTTCTGTATGTCTCTTAGTGGGGTTTCAGATTCTTTCAATGTGTTGTTTTGTTCCATTTTTATAATTCCAAGTGCACCTATTACCACTGGTATTATTCTTGTTTTCAATTTCCACATTTTTCTTTTCAATTTCCAGGTTTTGTATTTTGATTTTTTTTGCAAATTCCTTGGTTGCTATTTATCCGCTGGACATTATCAATTAGTAGGCATTTTTTTTCTTTCTGGTTTTTGACAATAATGTCCGGCCTATTTGAAATCAATTTTTTCTGTCTGTGTTTCCTTGAAATAATCCCATTAATTACATTTCTATTTCTGTAACCGGCATCTGGGATGTTTCCCATTATTATTATTATTATTATTATTATTATTATTATTATTATTTTTTGTATATCTGCTGAACTCATTTTCGTTTTTGGTCTATTTGTACGAATGTCGTTTTGGATGAGAGACTTGTTCCAAATCAGAACCGTCCAATGATTTTGTTTTCATTTTATGAAACGTACCTTGTACGTGGCTATATATATATATATATATATATATATATATGTATAACAGGTTCCACGGCACTATTTTTGAATTGATTTTCTCTGTTTGGGTTTGGGTTTTGATTTATTTTAATTTCTAATTATGTTCGGCGACCTTTGAACATCTTTTTCAATATTTTTTTCAAATTTCCAATGCACAGCCAACTCTAGAGTTTACAGTGAATGCAAAGGAAAATGTCCAGTGAGTTGCAATTCTCAGGGCAGAAATCTGTTTGATGAAAGATGTCAGCAGATAATGGCCAGACTGGTTTAAGCTGAAGGAAAGGCAACAGCTCAAATAAACACTCTTTACAACGGAGGTATGAAGAAGAGGATCTTTGAATAGGCAACACCTCGAACCTTGAAGCAGGTGAGCTACAGCAGCAGAAGGTCACGCAGCGTGCAACACCTGTAAGATAAGAAGGATCAAGGAAAACTGGACAAACGTTACCTGGTCTTTCGAGTCTCAATTTCTGCTCTGACATTCGCGTAGTAGGACCAGAGTTTGGTGCAAACAACATGAAAGTATGGATTCATCCTGCTTTGTGTCAATGGTTCAAGCTGTTGGTGGTGTAATGGTATGGGGAGTATTTTCCTGGTATATGTCGGGACCCTTTTTACCAATAAAAATGGTTTAAATGCCGCAGAGTACAATGGTATTGCAGCTGA